ATTGATCTTTTTCAGCTCCCCCTATTTAGGTGTTTCCCATGAATCTGGGTGATAAAGATACTTTATCTTGTCTTCTCTTTTAAAAGGAAAAAAAAAAATGAATACTCTTGCACATGTGAAAACTATATAATGTTATAAACCAAGTTATTCAACAAAAAATGTTTAAAAAGGAACTTAAGTAGTGTTACAATGCATGTTACTTAAATTATAAGAAAAAAGAAATAAAAGTGATGAGGGACACCACTTTTCTTAAAGCAAGCATCTTGAGGTGCCCCATAGCTGTTTTGCCTCCCTCTAGTTAAACAAGTTTCTGATTTCTAAACAAAGACATAGAAGACATGTTTATCCAATTCATAGACAGCACAAATCCAGGAGGGCTAACTCTTATCACTGAGGACATAATCAAGATCCACCACTTCAATGACTGGAGGCAAGCATGATGGACTGAAGCCAATGAATTCGCTTTCAACAAGCACAGTGTGCTACATTTCCAAAATCAATTGCATATGTACAGGAAAGACCAGACCAACTTTGGCAGTAATTATGAAGAAAATAGGCTGTCTTCAGATATTTGGAGGAATGACTATAAAGTTCCAGTACAGAAAACCAGGGAGAATGGGTGAAATCTCAACTTACTTTTAGAAAGAACTTTCCTTCAGAGTTGTTCAGTTATGGCCAGAGTTGTTCAGTTATGGCCAGTATAGGTACTGGAAAGGACCCTTGTCTCAGAGGTGCTTTCTGGGATCACACTTGACTTCTTTCCTTCCTTAAACTAGCCATACTGCCCTGTGCAAACCTTTATGTGTTTGGCCCAAGCTGTTTCATCTGCCATGAACGTACTTTCTGAAACCCACAAACCCCCAACTTGTCTGGCTAAATTATTCTCACAATCTCCTAGAACAGCGTTCTCTGCTCTTATATATTCCTGCAATACTCCTTAGCACACACACAGTGTATACCTTCAGCCATTTATTTATTTACAGTCACATTTTCCATGTCTGTCTATAAATTCCTTGAAGATAACAGCTATGACTGTTCTGCTCCCTTAAGCATCTCCATTCCTGCTCATTGAGGCTAGCACAGAGAAGCTCAAGAAATAGCAGCTGAGTGACTGCCTAGCCTAATGCAAACATTGAATTATAAGAAAAACTGGAAGAGAAAGACACACAGAGAGAATGAGAAGAGAACCATCAGTGGTTGGCTCTGTCTTTCCATTGGTGATGGTTTTCATAAGCTGAGCATGGTGTAACCCCAGAGTTTCAAATTTTCAAACATTGTCAGCTCAGTCTTGGTTCCCTGCTACAGTGGGGCAAAATCTTGAGAAAAGCAAAATGATTATTCTCTTTATATTTATCTGCAACAATTATAAGAGTCTCCAGTTCTGGATGGTCAGGAAAAAATAAGGACAGAATTTTCACATCTTCCTTGCTCTCTCTACCCTAATTGTGTTATAATCTTTGAGCTCAAAGATATGCTTCATGCTTCTACTCATTTGGATGATGCTCATCTGGTAATTTTGATTCTTTCTGGAATTCTTATAACTTCAAAATGGTTTTGACATAATTTACAAAAAAAGAATTTTGTTGTGCTAATGAGAAACATAGTCCTTGGGATGAATATACCAAGGCATTGAGTGTAATCTTTGAGACCAAATTCTTGCTTATTTATTTTTAAGAGAAGAATACAGGGAGCATTTGTAAGAATGGAGCAGCAGATATCACTTGATAGAATGCAGAGACAGGATCACAGGGAGGTGGAACACCCAAGGAAGAACTGTTATCTGGCCCCACCTTTAAGGAAACTAGATAGGAAAGTTATGAGGATAAAGTTAAGAATGATATACAATCCTAGCAGCCTTTCGATGATGCACAAAAGGAGTGTTTTTACATTATATCAGCAACCCCACAAAGAGCAGAGATAAGAGGAAAACTGAAGATTATTTTCCCATGTCCTTTAAACTAACCAATGAAAGCCCAAGAATATTTTGTTAAAACAGCCTAACTTTTTGAGATCCCTGTAGACTGTCCTTCAGTGAGAAGTTTCCTACCCAGATATAATTTCTTCAGACAGCTGCAGGCTACATTTGTCAGGAAAACACATAGATCACAGCTGTATTTTCTTATCTTGATGGCCAAGTTTTAGAACCCTTTGAAATGTTGCCCCAGTCACTGCAGTAAGAGCAGCTACTGTACAGGCAAAATGTAAGATTTCATTAGGGAATTGTTTTCCCCCCAACCCCCAGTGCCTCAAAGGTCTCTGAATGAGCCTCTCTCACCTAGTAGCACAAAAGCTATTAAATCTCTTGAATGAAAGGGTCAGGTTGCAAGCTGTGCAAGTATGGAAGTCATTCCTGTTCAGACCACCCAGCTCTCCAAAGGGGCAGCAGCACCAGATTCAGACAAGATAAAAGGCTGTGCTCCTATGTAACCCTTCCAGAGAAATAGCCTCTCTAGAGAGCGACAGGATCCCATTGTGAAGAATGTATGCTCTGAAAAAGTGGTCTTTGTCCTCTGCACCAGTGGTTTAAGTTCTCTTTGTGAAAGAAAATTTAATTTTTTTTTTCTAATTTTGAAGAAAAGCAGTTAGTCAAATCCTTGGACGTGTTTTCAACACAAAAACAAATAAAGCTCCCCTTCCTGATTTCTGAGTTTAGGGGACTGAGCCATATTGACCAATGTCAAAACATCAAAGCTGGAAAGATATCCAAAATCTTTTACTTCAAACTTTTCATTTTGTTGATGGGGGGAAGTGAAGCTCACAGAGATTACATGACTCACATGACTCGCAGAAGCTGTTTAATAAACACTAAGATTTGAAACACAATGAGGCCAGGAATACTCTCCATACTATTCACATTAATCATTTTGGAGTCCTTGGGAAATTAGCAGTAAACCTGGTATGTAGCACCACCCCAGCTCCCCCCCCAATATTTTTTGGGGGGAGAGAAGAAAAAATGGGGTGCTGATAACTACATCCTATTTTCTTTTTACTACAAATGGCAATGCCACAAAATGTCTTTGGGGGAAGGATGGAACTGAGTTCTTACTTTCAGATGTTGTCAAATGAGGACCTTAACAAGATGGAGCCATCACTTCCTGTTTCTCTCCATCCTTCTGGGCTCATTAATCCAAACTCATTTTCTAGGAATTAGACTGTTCCTTGAGAGTTCCAAGAATTTCAGCTCAGTTCAGCCCAACTCAGCCTAGCCAGTTCCCAAAAGCAGAGTATCCCTAGGAGACTGATAAAAAATTAAGAACAGCCTCAGGTTTTAAGTTTCTAAGACAAACATCACTTGGCAATGCGGAGACAAGTTAGACCTTACAGCCCAGAATTTGAGGGCAAGGGAACATGGTGTCCAGGTACCTTGTCTAACTCTTTTTCTCATAAAAATAAAAAGACAGAAGAGGAAAAGAAAGTGGGAGGAGAGGGGAGGGTTTGGAATGATGAGGTTGATGGGAAAGCCAATTTAAAAGTCCTGGTTTGTCAGTCAATCATGCAAAAGCTTGTTGCACATAATTTTTGTTCAATGCCGCTCAAGCGCAAGTTTATTATTCAGATGTGAGATTTAATATTAACCAAGTACGTGAGAGGAATTTAATGGCCAAAGACAAGGTAGAGGAATGCATATTCAACTGTGATATCACCTGCATCAGAATCACCTGGGTAAGTTCCAAGTGGCAGCCTAGACCTAAAATCCTTTGGGAGGGTGGCCTAGGCATAGGCCTTGCATCAAGCACCCAGGTGATCTCAATGCACAATGAGTTTTGAAAACCAATGGAGCGAAAGAGCAAAGGTAATTAACAATTTCCTCTGGGCTATGCTCAAGGCACTGCTGTATCAAGAAGCAATTCCTCAAGTTTTAACTAGAACTGGGAATTGGCAGTATCTGTTTTCCAAAGCAGAAACCTGAAGTACTTTTAGATCGCTAGGTCTGCTCTGGGAAACAGGCCTGAAAAGGTTAATCTCTCCAGCAAGATTCCCAGGCCATAAACTCCAACCAGTTGCCAGAAATGCTCTTTTTAAGCTTTGTAATTCACGCCAAGCAACAAGACTGAATGCAATAGCAAAACCCAGCAGAAACAAAAATTAAATGCCTTGAAAATTACTTCTGTGATCCAGATGAAAACTAAAAGAAACTATTTCCTACAACACCAAAGTTTCTGGAGCAAGTCTGAGTAATGAGCAGAAAAAAAACTTAAAAATCGGTCCAAGACATCAGAACAATATGATTTCTTTGCCTCTCTAGTACTTTCTCCTCTTCACAAACACAGAAATGATGCTTTTGAAAATATACATCCAAATATAACTAAAGCCAACATTCTAGAAATTGTCTTGTCCAAATTACTATATGTTTATGCCAGGAGGATATAATATCTTGTTAGTTTTTGTACTATTTCCCTTTTCCATTCCACTAGATTGAAGAGAAACATTCTGATTTCAGGAAAGAAATTACAAAATTTAAAATTGGTTACTTCATTGGTGAGTGCCACTGGGCATGGATTCAGAAGAGAGTTATACATTTGTGTTAAGAAAATAAATTCCATTTTTGTCATATGCTTTTTTTTTTTTTAAACACTGCACATTGCCCTGTTCAGAGTTTACAAGAGAATTAAACTTTTGCAAGCTGACTTTGCATACACTTCTTGCCTAGTTCCTTGGAATTAATGCTACCACCATGAAAACAACCTCTGGGGCATTGTGCTAACAGAACATTCACAGTCAAGATGAGAGGACGCACATAAAGCAGATACTTACAGGTAGTGGTTTTCCTTTCCAAGCCAAAAAAGCTAGAAACCCTTGGCCCAGGCGGGCGGGATAAGCGTCACTGACCCGGTAATCTCTGGTTTAAAGGGCTTTGAGAGGAAGCGGGAGGAAAAACAACCCAGGAAGGAAAGAGAGCTGAAATTCCAGTCTTTCAGGTCAGCTGAGTTTTAGCTTTCTTTGTACTAAAAAATCCATTAACCCTCCCAACAAGAAAATATAGAATCAAGTTCACATACACACTCCACTCTCTTTGCTGGTCTTCTCCAAGGCTGCTGCTGCTGCTGCTGCTGCGGCTCTGAAAACTTCCCGATAGCCAAGCCTCAGGACTCCCTCTGTGAAGGGCATGATAAAGGATGCCTGCAACTGTTTGCAGAGAGCCCGACCTCCCTGGCAGAGAGCCACAGCTCGTCCAGTCCCTTCTGCTGGTTGGGTCCGCAGGGACAAAACTGAGCTTTTGTTAATAAGGTCGGTTGCGTCTCTCCCTAGCTCCCTTTCTCACTATTAGTTATGTACTAACTGCTCTGCCACTGGCTGAGTCAAAGCTGCTTCTCCTGCCTGCAGCACACACACACACATACACACACACACAAACACACTGCATACAGTCACCCCAACATGCCACACAGAGCCACGCGCAGGCCAGGCACACACAGGCCCCCGTGTGCACATGCAGGCGTACGCACCCACACACAAATGCCTCCATAGGATTCACACACCCATGTGTGTGCAAATTCACACATACTATACACACATGGGTACACACACGTGCTCACAGCCACCCATACACATATTTGCTGTTTCTCTGAACCTTCCAATTCTTCAAACACACTTTTTTCCTTAATCTCTTTCCTTTGAACAAACTACAATCCTGAAAGGTTTTTATTTATGTTCACACTAGATGCCCAGCATTCAGAAGGAAGGAAGAAGGGGTATGGACTGGCCGCTTTTAAAGGAAAAGATGAGCAATTCAAAGATACAATTTCTCAAGTACCGCCTTAGTTCTTCAGTTTATAAGGCTTTTCCTGTATCTGGTTCTTTATAATTCCATTAACCTCGCCTCATTTGCATGCAGCTCATGACCCCACTGACTCAGATATGTCACAGGTCAAGAAATGTCCTCTCAATGGAGACACAATCAAACTTGTCAGGATTCAATGGGGGAATAAAAATCTTATTCCTTAACTACTAGATAATCAATTTCTTTCCTGAACGTCATTTCCCCCAGAAAAAAGTAAATAGTGCTATACTATCTGGCCTAACTTTTAGATTGACCATATATAGAGAAGTTGGAGTTTTATCTCACTTTGGGAGAAATGTTTATATTGAGACCTGTCTGGTTATTCTAAAGCTCAGCCAAAAGTACAAGGCACTATAAACCAATTCAACTTCGATTGCGGTTTCCCCTAGAAAGTTCATGACGCTATATCCCTTGCCTTGGAAGCAATGAGGGGAAGAGAGAGGGAAATGGTAAAGAAATAGAAGAAAATCAAATAAAGAAGGTAGGAAGGAAATAGGTAAAGCAGAAGTATGAAAGGAGGAAAAGAAAGAAATGCAAAAGAAAGAAAAACATGTTTTACCAATACTTGAGTAATGATAGTGCAGTATACTTCTAAGTCACCAGAAGTTCTAAATCTTCAAGAATTTCTTGATTCTTTCTATTTGCCCTGAGAATAAATGGATGAAACTTCTTGAGAAATCACTACACTCTCTGTAAGTAAACAAACATAACTAAACACAGTTATGGAATAAAATACAGTGACAATACATGATTCCTATACTGTCTTTAAAAAGCAAAACAAACCTTACTAATAGATACAACATCACAATTTTATTCTTGATTGAATTTAAAATTGCTCAAATTTTGAATATCTCACCTGAAAAAAATGACTCTAGATACTATTGGTTGAGACATGAAATTTAATTGACAAAGAAATGATAACAGGTAGTTGTAAAATTGGATGCACTGATGTGCATCTCTTAACATCCGGGTTAAATACAGTCTATGAATTAATCTATAAACAGAAATAAATAGTTTTCATAACCTTCAGTTTTCTAAACAAGAAAACAACACTGATTCCAATGCGTTTCAAAATATCCGCAGGAAATAAAACTTTTGTAAAGTTAATTATATATGTGGTATTTGACTTAATCGTCCCCAGAACATACTTTAGACTAGACATAGTTGGAAAATGTCTTAAAATCTGAAATATTTGAATATAAAATAAATGATTCTCTTATGTCTTCCACAAATGGGGCTGTTGGAATAATACAATTACAAATTTTAATAAAGGGCTCTTTGGACAGGTTGAAATGCAAAGCTAGAGGATTTAAAAGAAACTAGCTGAAGAAACAACAGAGTTCTTCCCTTAAAAGCATATGCTGCTGAGTTTAGTGCTGGAACAAAACACATTTTAAAGAAATCTTTCTGGGCCTCCCTGGTGGCACAGGGGTTAAAGACACAGCGCTATCAAGCTATTAGCAGCCATTGCAGCATGAGTTCAATCCCCACAGGCCAGGGAGCAACCCACATGGTGCAGCAGACTCTCCTGTCTCCTGCAGCAGTGTATTTCAGTATATCTTCTTGTTCTGCTCCCCACTCTCTCTGGTGAATCCTCTCACCCCCTGCACCTCTGGCCTACACCCCAGTTCTTGTATGCACAAATATAATAAATCTTCAAAAAAAAAAATCTTTCTGTTTCTAACCTCAGGATTGACGTAAGAGAAAAATAAAAAATGTCATGAGTTGGAGATTGGTAAACCTTTGGGGGTTGTAAGTGTGCCTGGTTTTTGTTTAATTGCATTCTCTGAGAAGCACAGTGAGCCTCTTCACCAACCATACATGTAACAGAATTAGGAATGTGTCTGTTAAGTGCCGATGGAGCCCAGCACAGAAGTATTACCCATCGTGCTATGAGTGGGTTTTTCACTGAGTCTATGAAACATGATGCCTGTGGGTGGGTACCGTGCTGCATCTTATAGGGATATAGTTCAGTAGTGGAAGGGTCACAATTTAAATAGATCAACTTAAAAGCAAGTAAGTAATAAAATGAAAACAAAATTCAATTGAATAGCAAACAAAAATCCTGGGCAGACAGCTCAACTTCAAACTCCCATCCAGTTTCTGACATGCCCAAGGCAATGGTAGGAGACTGTCTCTAACAAGAGCCTTAATACCACTGCTGGAGTATAAAAAGAATTTAAGCTCTTGACCTGGAAAACAGTTTTCTGACAAGAATCTGAATAATAGGTTTGGTAGAAAAATTATTTCCTGCCTGTTTTGTGTCATCCTGCTTTCATTTTTACCCTGTAAATGCCAAATCAACTGCTCTAACTCCTAGTTTATGATCCCAATTTAGCTGTCAAAGGATTCTTAGAGGTTTTTTTTTTTTTTTTCATTCAATTTGTCTGGTTATTGTTTTGTATTCCTAAATTTGCTTGTGGTGGCTAAATTTTATTTCATTTTTGCTATCAAGAAACTTAGTAGGAAGTTTTATTTGTGTAACAATAAATGCATTTCTAAAATAGTGAAAAAATAATAATAAAGGCTATGCAATTATCTTTGTGTGTCAGAAAAAGGCAGAAACACAACCCAGTGAACTCTGAACCTCAGAGTTCAGCGCTATCAGGATAGCTCTCAGGTAACAGAGAAGAAAACAACTTCTGACAAGGCAGAAAGAAAAGCAGTGAGGTGTGCTTGACATCAAAAAGGCTTATTATCTTTAAACATAATTACAAAATCTTCAATAAGATATATGTAAATCTAATCCACCTTTGCATTTTAAAAGATATTATAACCAATAGGTTTTATTTCAGGATTGCAAGTATGGCTCAAAGTGAAAACATCTAGCATTTTAACATATTAAAGGAATGAGGAAAAGCTAGACAATCATCTTAACAAACCTAGAAGAAATGTTTTTGGTAATAATCAACCTATTTACTTAAAAAAATGATTAGCCAAATAAGAAGAGAATATAGAAGTCTTTTGTACCTTTCAAAGATATCTGTCAGAAATCTCATGCTGAATGGTAAAATTTTAGCACTAAAGAAGCAACAGGACAAAAATGCCTGCTACAGTCCTCATATTTCATCCTTCATAGGTGAGTTAGGTCAATAAAACATGTCAAGAGAAAAGTGAGGCCGAGGATTGAATAAGAAGAAAGTAAACCTTTTATTTGGAAAATATATGAGTCTTTCTAAAAATATCTTAAAGAAATTTTCTGAATGAGGATGCTCGAAAAGGGTGCTCCTGATACGAAAAACATTGCAGGGACAAATTTTTCCAAATACACACACGTTCACCAAGAAATTTAGCTGTTTGATAAAAAGGAATTATTTTCCCAGCACTTGTTTTATGTCTAGAATCATTGATTTAGCTGGAGAGGGAAAGAATAAAAGATTCAGCTCCTCTAATGTTATGGGAACTGATAAAATCACATACTTCACTGAATTTGAGCAAACATTTCCCATACTGTAAATTAAAGGCTATTTCTTGTGAAAATGGAAACTTCAGACTTAAAATTCTACTCATCACACTATCATTTCCACATTTGTTCACTAAATTCATACAGGAAATCAGAATAAACTGACTCATTTCATTACACTCTGCCATCACAAAGGAAAAACAAACAGGCAATGCATTTTTCTCATTAACAATAAACTTGAACACAGTTTCAAATGCTTGTTAAAGTAAAAATACATTAGGACACACACACACATTAAAAACATGAAAAAATACTCAGGAATCCTTTTTATCTCCACCCAGTTTATAGAATGGGGAAAATGCACCAGAGATGATATAAACAATTTAATTATAAGATGTTTTGCATTTCAACTATCTTTGTGAGATTTGGGAGTGATTTTGTTTTTCAAACTTTAGCCCCAGGAACAATTTTATCTTTCCAAGCATAACACAAAGATTTAAATTGTTCACTTACTGACTCCAGAAAAATCTCCAAAACCCAGCTGTCTCAAAGGCAATGTATTTTGCATCATAAAAAATCAAAACAGTAGTTACATTTTAAAAATCATGGCAGCTTAACCCAAGTCAAAATACTCGGAAATAACAAAACAAGGTAAATTCTTCCTTTCATATCATAAAAGAAAATGGCACAAATGCACTTGCAAATTCCCAGACTTGCTTAGAAAGAAGAGGCCAAAATCATACACCAAATGAGTCTCAGAGGAACTACAACATGCTGATCTATTAAATTCCCTTCTAAAAGGGCTATTGAACTTTGATATAAGTTAGGTTTTGTGCTAGTCTTGGGAGGGACAGAGATGAGTAAGACAGAGTGCCACCTCTCTATAATTTTATAGTCTAGTTAGAGAAGTAAGAATACATGGAATATCATATATTGAGACTTGATTAAAGATAGCTAACAACTACTAAGAATGTACACACTATGTACAATGTTATTTACACTCATTTATTAACTCATTTAATCCTGACAACTCTAATCTCTTGAGTGGATCTTAGTAGTAAAACCAATGCATTAGTTCTCTCTCTCATCTGTCACCAAGCTCTGTCACTGCTTCACTCTGCATGTTAACCTTATTTGTTTTAAAGATTTATTTATTTATGCATACAAGAACTGGGGTACAGGCCAGAGGTGCAGGGGATGAGAGGATTCACCAGAGACAGAGTAGGGAACAGAACAGGCAGACTGATTGAAATTCACTGCTGAGGGGAGCAGTGGGAGGGACAGGAGAGGTCAGCTGTGCCATGTGGGTAGCTCCCTGGCTGCCCGGGGATCGAACTCGTGCTGCAGAGGCCGCGGACAGTTTCACAGTGCTGTGTCCAACCCCTTGCACCACCAGGGAGGCCCTTTAACCTTATTTTCTCTTGTTTGAGAC